CCAGATCAAACCAGTCTGAACCAAAATGAGAATCAATCTACTGTGAACCAGATCAAACCAGTCTGAACCAGATCAAACCAGTCTGAACCAGATCAAGCGAGTCTGAACCATACATAGCTGATCACAGCCTCTAGCTCTCACCTTGTTGACCTCCTCCAGGACATGCTCCTGCGACGTGTTACTCGGCACAAAGTGGTCGATTCCAAACACCACGTACACGAGGGCCGTGTTGTCCAACACCGGACGCTTGGCGGGCTTACCGCAGGAGCCTTTAGGGCAGGGGTTGTACCCTGTCTCAGGAGAATCGGCGCTACCACTGCCACCCCCACCGGGTTTGACAGTATTTGACCCTTGACTCCCGCCTCCACTTCCACCCCCAGTCCCACCACCACCCCCACCACTGCTGCTAGTGTGCGGATCTAAAAACGGACAGTATATATATAAAAATGACATTATACAACACGTTTTTAGGAAACTCTGGAACTATTTCTAACTTTAAAGTTCGTCGTGTGCACGGCAGAAGGGCGTAAGTGCTTATGCCCTTTTGCCGGGAAGCATGATCACTGCAAAAAAACTTTTCCCGGCAAAAGGATGAAAGTATGCAACTATTGTATTTTAATGAAATATGTGGATTTCTTGGCAAAAATTAAAAAAAAAAAAAGCCCAAGTCCTTTAATAAGTTGTTCAAAGTTTGCTTTTTGTACAGCCCAGGTTGATTTTGTAGTAAATTATATCCGTTTTTACTAAATAAAGAGAGTGTATTTTTTACGCCCTTTTGCCGGCAACATTTTTTCTGCTGTGATCGTGCTTCCCGGCGAAAGGGCCTAAGCGCACCTATGCCCTTCTTCCGGGCACCCGACGAGTTACAGACACTTTCACAGTCTACACTGATAAACCATTGAAGCTGAAGTGGTTGCAAAATCCAGAATAAAATTGTGACTGACCAAAGCAGTGCCTTGCGTAAACCATCTCGATGATCTGACGCCTCTCACAGGACGTCTTGTTCAAGAAGCAGATGTTCTTGTAGGTCTGACCGTCGGACCCGCACACCGGCTCCTCCACATCGGAGCATGAGAAGATACAGCGACAGACGGGGCTCCCAGGGGGAGTGGAGTCGATGCACGTGCTATGAAACCCACAGGGTGGGTCTCGATTGATGCAGGTTTGCCCTGCCGGAGAGATCAGGTTTCAGGGATCACCTCAACAAATGCCATCACTTCTGCAGTCAGACACTGTCAACTAGCTTGCCAACATTGATTAAACTAGCCACCCCCGGACTGTTCAATTCTCCAAGGTAAACTATGGGATAACAAAATGCCCCAGGCAGCATAACTTCATTTACTAGACGTTTACACCCACACGAATGAGTGTCTGGTGGCTACTCTAATCTGACAGACAACATCTATTGGAGCCAGGGTATTTCAGCCAGGCGTGCCGCCCAGTAAAGAGGGCCCAGATTGTGCGGTGTTGCATAATTTCCATTGTTTCTGAAATTGGCCCAGTGTGCTGCTGAATGCCAGTGGCGTCTTTTCAAATGTGGCCAAATTAGCATGCAGTGGTAGTGTATCGCTTAGCACTGGAGCGTTGGAGAGCTTTTGTCGCCGCTGATAATCCACTGGCACTGAATGCCACAAACAGTGGTTTACTGTTTCCAAACAATGACAGATTACCTCCACTAATGCCAAACTAAAAATGATGGCAAATCCCAGCAGCTTGGTTTTTGTTCTGACTACGGTCTTTTGTTACTAGGCCTAGCTCTTTTGTCCCATTTCGGTTACCCGGGCTAGGCATACAAACCCAAGGTACCCAGTTCCGGAAACCCAATGGTTAAAGGATGAATTCCTACACTCCAAGATTACAAGAAACAAGTTCACTGATGGGCTGAACTCTCCACAAAGCAAATCTTGTACACTGTCTATTAAACCTACTTGGATTGTTCTACAAGGTGAAGCCATGGGAAAATGGAATGTTCCAGAGATCATCTCAGGATACTATGAATAATTCAATATATCTGAGCTTTTTGAGGCTAAACGGGGAACATGGTGAACTGGGATATTCCGGTAAAAGTAGGTCCCGTGAAAAAGACTGGGTATGGAACATTTCTTGACTTACTGACAACAGGTGTGGTTGTACTGGTGGCCTGCGGAGGACGAGAGCCTTGTGTGGGTTCATGATGGACATCAGGGGGTTTGGTGTGGACCAAAGGCTGTGAGGGTTCCACGGGGTCAGAGGTCACCGAAGGCGGACGAGTTGGCTGAATAAAGTGGAACGTAACACGTAACGGGTAAGCGAAATGGGTGCTAGCTGACGGCATACGAAACTGCAGGCTCTACTGAAAGTTGGATTCAATTTCTTGGTGTACATGTATAGAAAAGATTTCTCAGTAAATTTATGTGCTGGTTACAATAAAGCAGGGGACCAGCCAGAAATACTCTACATTATTACGAGTTATGGGCTCCATGATGTCCATTTTTAACGGGATTCCAAGTTGCATCAAACATCCAAAAAAAAGGAAAATTTGTTTTTTTCTAAATGAAAAATGAAACAAAATTACCAGAAAAAATGGCCTTAAAGGCTCATTTTAGAGGGTATGGTTAAGTACATTGTTTTTCTAAGAGCATTTTCTGAGATTACAAGTTTAAGTGTCTTGTGCTCAAAGTGGTTCACAGCGTCGCCACACAGTTGCCCCCCAACCCTCCCTACTTTCTAAACCCCTCCCATCCTCACCGGAAGCCCCTGGGAGTGCGTCACGGTATGTTGGCCTCCCCCGGCTGGGGGTCTGGTCGGCAAGGGCAAAATGGGTAAGGTGACGGGCCCTCCGGGGACCGGCTGGGGGGCGTGGCCTCCCTCAGTCGAGAGCCCCGAGCACGTCTTGCAGGTGATATCCTTGCCGGAGAAGTTGTAGGCCAAGTCGATGAGCTGCTGGAGGTTCGTCTGCTCGTCGTAGAGTGCCGGGGGGCGGGCGGCCGGCTTGATGTGAATGACCAGGACAAGGGAGATGACGAAGATCCCGGTGTAAACCACTGTTATCAGAAAAAAAGCAAAAGAAATCGAAGGCATGCAACCGGGGACCGACATCACTTAGCTACTCATCAGGATAATTAAACATGGATGTCAGCAGAATTTTTTCAGGGGAAGGAGTAGCACTCATCTAAAACCGACAAACCATCAACAGTAGCAGTGGGTCAATGCCGAGGTATTTTCAAGCACATTGGTCATTTCCATTCCCTTTCTTCCTTTTTCTTGTTTCCCCAACTTTTTTCCTCCTCTTTTCAACATTTAAATGTGTTCGAGCGAGGGGGGGGGGGGCATTTCCAATCTCCCCCTGGGATGTCCATGCTTGCAAAGCATTGAAAGCATTTGCTCAGCACAACCAACCTACCAGCCAAGACGTCACGCACTGGATATGTCCTGTGACCGGTTCCCAGCGGACTTTAGCATGAGACTGCTTAAATGTAATTTTCTTCTAAGCAACTCTTTGAAACTGGGCCCGAGAATTTCAAATGGGCACTAATATATTGTTCTCGCAATGATGCAATGCCCAACCTGTTACTACCTTGAGGGGACGATTTCTTCTATTAGGAAAGTCGCGATCGAGTTGTTGGGATGCAAATGCCTTTCAGTCTCCAAACAGCATCCGTGTTGTCTTCACCACAATGGAACAAGTGCGAGTGATTGGCTATCTAAGGCCATATCTGAATCTCTTGTCTAGAGCTAGGTCTAGGTTTTCGCTCCACTGGAAACGAGTAGACAATAGACCTAGCCGTAGCTCTGGACGCCCGTTTCGGACACGGCCTAAACTTCGAGGAGGGAGGGGAAGGAATTCGGCCCCATTTTTTGTCAGCTTTTCAACAGAAGGAACAAAATTTTGACATGGCCTCCAAAAAGACTGTATAGTAATTACATCCCTAGGAACATTCTTTCATTCATACATGTATATCTGGGCTTTCAAAGGAGTTCAAACTGGTCAGGAGGCTACGTACTGATAACTATGCAGCGGCCCTTAATGATGGGTGTGGCTACGAATCGGTTCAAGAACACCTGCAGCGCCTTGGTGATGCTGCGGGCCTGCTTGGGGGCGGGGCGTGCAGCAGGACGGGTGGCTGGTTGGCGGTAGTCATCGTCATTGGTCAGAATGAGAGGATCGTCGTCATCATCGGTCAGGAGGTCTGTGGTGAGAAGGGGAGTGAATCAGAAACAATTGACCTCCATGCCCCGAGTGCACACCCAACCGAGGGCTGTTAGTACACTGCCAGTGCTGTTTACACACCCAGCTGTGACAACTTCAGATTAGAAGCCATTTTGGTTCCAAAGTCTTTAACAATTACTCGTCTTGCTCCAATCTTCCATTTTTCAATTTCCAATTGATTAGTGCTGCCCCAAGCGTAACACTTTGCTGTGTTGGAAACAAAATGGTGTCATTCCCTAACTTTCATGTCACAGCTCCGTCAAGAGCCCAGCAGCCAAGAAGAATGGACAGAATGAACTGTTTATCGTTACGAGTCACAGAAATATTGCATCTATACCGTTTGTGCATGCTCCACAGAGGGCGCTACACTCATCGAATCTTTTCTTAACATATTAAATATATAGGAGCATCAAGTCCCATGAAAGAAAGGCATCAAGTCCCATGAAAGAAAGCAGTGGCTGGACTCTACCTTCTTCAGTCCAACCAACATTTATGGTGGATTTTGAAGGGTTCAGGACAAAACTAGCTCCCAGCTCGGGAAACTTTTTAACCATATGCTGCCGGGGAGCCTGGTTTCTGGCACATAGGCTTTATACACGAAACCGGGAATCCCAAAACCAGACAAAAGAGCTAGGCCTTATAACAAAAGACCGTACTTGGAACAAAAGAGCGAGCTGCTGGGAATTGCTAACATTTTTTCAGTTCTCAATAGAGGAGGAAATCCATCATTGTTTTGAAAAATTACACCACTGTTTGTGGCATTCAACGCGAGCGGATTACAACCGGGGACAAAAGTGCTCCAACGCTCCAGTGATGAGCAATACCGCTACACGCTAATCTGGCCCCTGTTGAAAAGACGCCAGCCGTGCACTGTGCCAATTTCGGGAAAAAAAGAAACTTAAGTAACACCGCACAATCTGGGATCTTTTTACAAGGCAGCAGGCCTGGCTGAATACTCGGGCATTAATAGATGTTGGATTCGAGTAGCCACCAGACACTCATTCGTGTGGGTGGAACGTCCAGTAAATGAAGTTATGATTTTTTGAAGAATTTTGAAAACGGAAAATCTTGAAAATCTCCCGGTTTTACATCATGCCACTTCAAATTCCACCGGGCAGCAAGTGGTTAAAGCCACGAAAGCTTACGCTGAATGTTGGCCTCCTCCTCCAAGTCCAACATAGGGATGTCGCCGTTCTCTCCGCGTGATCCCTCCTGGCCGCTGACGTCTGCCCCTGGTGCTAGGCTGGTCTCGCTCGGCGACGTCTCGCCTGACAGCTGCCTCTCGTGCTGGTCCAGGAAGTGCGAGAGTCGGGCCATGCCTGCTGCTGGGTCACGGGAACGTCTCATACAGAGGCGGAATCTGAAAGCAGGGTGTGGTACGAAGTTCATGTCAAACCCACACAACATGAAGTTCAAAAAAAAAGCTTTTTTGGAAAAAAAAAGCTTTTTTTGTAATGCATTTATCTTGACTCCAGAAGCATTTTTGCTAGGGACTTTTTAAAGTCTTCCAAAATCCTGCTGATGCAGAACATCATGACATTATATATCAACTTTCAAGGGACATCAAGAGCCATGTAAAGTAATGTCAGCTGGGCTCTTCCTTCCACAATCCTAAAAATTAACCCCTTCATACCAGGAGCCATCCACAGCCGCGGCTTTCTGTGAGGATTAGTGCATACCACACATACAGTCTATTCACCATGCAGTTGCTGGTTCAATGTGGGCCTGCTGGCTGGACAAAGCTTTGCATTCTGGGCATACCACAGCCCAACAGTCACGGTCACAAGAATCCCGGCTCGAAGGGGTTAACTAATCACTGGTAACGGCCATAAGGGAAGTCGAAGACCAAGAGAATCTTCACAGTCAAGACAATTCAAAATTTACTGCTGGCATGTGTAATTTCCAAAATATTTAAGTGAGCGCGGAGGGGGAATATTTGTGATGAACTTACAGGGCAGCTTCGCAGTGAAAACAACGCTGCCACAGGGTGAGGGCGCATGGCATGACAAGCATGACAAGGATCCAGCAGAATGTGACAATGAGACACATGAAGAGGCCAAAATCGTTGATAGCTGGGATCTGTAGCAGAGGCAGAAGGGATGAGATCTTAGATGACAACAAGGGTAACAGAGAGTGTAATGCAATGAGAAATGGGGATCAGGGGAAAAAAACGGGTGAAAGTCATCGACGGCTGGGACCTGTGGGGGAAAGAAAGGCAGAAGATCATGACAACTGGGATGGTACACAGGTTGACAGACACAGTGAAATATCACGTCAGGTGTTTAAAATTGACAAAAAAGCTGTAAACAGCCGAGATCTGTGAGGGAGACAGAACAGAAGGTGACAACAGGGATAATAGACAGGGTGACAGACACAGGGAGAAATCAAATCAGGTCAATTGAACAGGGCAAAGGTCATTGGTACCACAGTTGGGATCCGTATTGGAAAGAAAGGAATGATCGTAACAGTTTGGACAACATATGGGGTAACAAACACAATGACAAACTGGCTTTTGCAATGGAGTACATGAATGGAGCCAAAGCCACTGAAGGCTTCCATCTTTGATGGAGAGGAAGATCGTCGATGACAACAGGCACGACAGAAAGAGTGACAAACACGGCGGGGTGTTCTTCTCATGGGGTGGGGGAGGGCCTTTTTACCTGTGAGGCGATATTGGCGGCAAAGGCCCCGGCTGTAGTGAAAGACGTGAAGAAGGTAGCAATGCCGGCGGTCTTCACGGTGTGGGCCATGCGCTGTACGGGATCCTTGTAGTGGTCGGCTTGCAGGAATGTATTGACAAAGACGAACACGTCATCCACGCCTACAGCCAGGCAAGAGACAGCAAAGGAGAGTTTGCTAATAAGTCTGTGCATGAACCGCTGAGGGCGGCATTTAGCCCACAGCTCATTCTTAAAATATAAGGTCAGTAGTGTGACAAGAGACACATCTGATGAACAGGTGACCGTATTAATTCTGAATTTAATTTACAGGAAGCTACATACAGTAGTTAAAATTCTTATTTTCTATTCACTATTCATACAAAAGTAATATTTGATTTTAATGGTTTTGGAAAAGTCAAGGCTATTGTTGATTGGTTGAATATTGAGTTACTTTCATATCATGATTAGATGGAATTACAGATTGATTTCTAAGAGATACAGAAGATAAAGTGAATACGACATTTAGAGAATATAGAGATTTTTTATTTACTTATTAAGGCTGGGGTCAAGCCCATCACAAGTCATCTAATCTCGTCTTTAAGCTAAGTCACAAGCAATTCAAGTGAACTGTGACAACAACACTTCTGTGCCATTGCTCGTCTTGACATTTGTGACTGGTGTTGTGATTGGACTTGAAGCTTAATGTTTCTACTTACACCGCTCTGCACATTCACCTTTCACTGCATGTGTTCTACCAAAATTTGTGCTCATGACCCTTGACCTACAAATAGTTGTTCGAGCAAGTCACAGTAAAGGAGGCATTAGTTCTGTGTGCACTGTCTCGCCCTTGTCTCACTCATTTCTCAGTCTTTTTAGCAAAAACAAAAGACAGCACCTTGGCGATGAGCGATAAAAGAAACTTCGATTGTTCAATACTGGTGTACAACTTTGCCAGATGCCAATGATAATCAACTCGGTGCTCTCGAGGATTCGACGGTTTGCTTACCAATTCCGATGATGACAAACCCTGAGACAAGGTTGAGCAAGCCCAGGGCCACCTTGCCGAAGGCCACATGGTAGATGAAGTAGGCCCAGGCGAAACTGAAAAGGATGCTGACGAAGCCCCAGAACGTCAACCAAAGGGAGAACGAGGTGAGGACAAAGAGAAGGATGAAGATGGTGATGCCTGTGAGGGATATGAGATGAAGCGGAGAAAATTTAGCCGTGCAGAGACAACGATATTCCTGGTGATGTAACTTAAGGTTACTCCACAGTGCCCTAGGCAACGTACTGTAGCTCGCAAGCCTGAAGAAATCTGGAGACAAGAGGAGACAATGAGAAGCAGTTACAGTTTTAGAGGTGGGAGGGAAAACCCCAGAGAAATATTCCGGGTAATACCTGGAATCAGGTACAGACTGAAAACCCCATCCATACGTGGACAGGTATGAGAAGTGAACCTGGGTTGCAGAGGGAAAGGCGAGGAAAGAATCGCTTCAATAACATGACTCGGATGGATGAGGAAAGGAATTATTTGGGAAGAGAATGATAAAATGTAGGCACGAAAACAAGAAAAGTAGGAACAGACATCAAGGACGGTTAAGTCAGTTTGATGAGATGGTGTGTCTGTTGTTTTTCGCCTCTATGATCTGGGTTGGACTCCAACCAAGGCCAACGTGTGGACTGCCTGTTAAGTTTAAAATTCAAGTTTTCCCAGCCTGCAAAACTGAACATTTTCCGGACATGTGTATTGGGAAGGTTTGAATCTTTGGTCAACGTGGATCATGAGTACATTCTTACCGGTTGGTATGCAGAGGCGCAAGTCGTGGGAGATCGTTTCGGCTACCTGGTAGTCAAACAGCTGTGTGCCGCCGTACAAGACTCGCACTTTGCTGAAAGGGACCAAAAAATGCTTCAAAGTTGAAGACTAATCCACCTACAAAGATATTTGAAACGTTGAACAGTTTTCCAACTATAAAATTATTAAACGGCTTTGACTTTAATCTTCCTGAAACTCAAAATACGCAAAAAATGATGAAAACTTAACAGTAATGAAATAAAACAGGAATGAAATGAAGGCAAAAGAGTATTGGCTGGTAAAATCTCTCCCAAAAAAGAGAGTAATTGTAGAATGAAATTAAACTTACTCAGTTGAGGCCTTTTCCAGGACATCGATATACGTCACCAAAAAATCTTTGAAAATCTGAGAATTGGCTTCGTCACTCTGTGGGGTGGAGGCCTCCCCGAATGGTACTCCGAACCAGAACTGAAGGGAGAGGCATATTGTTTCACAGATATTTAAGCAATGGACTCATGTACATACAATCTGAGGCCCAAACGACCACCAGTGGCAGACCCAGAATTTCTTGCTGGGGGAGAGGAGTTTGGGCTGGAATTTACCCCCGACAATAGCTCACGATGCTGTTGTGGACTGGGATGTATGGCCATATCAGAATTAGATGTTTAAGATGTAGGTTGGATTTTGTATCTTAGTGCTGCAGATATTGAAAAAAAAAATTTTAAATGAAAAACCTTTCGGGGGCTTGAGATACCTGAGCCCCAACTAGGTGGCTTGCACAGGCCCTTCCGTTCTTTACACCAAACTTTAATGTCAGGAGTATTGGTGCAACATTTCCCCACATCTTTCTGCCATGAAACCCACAAATTGCTTGATGATGCTAAAAGGAGAACTTCCAAAGGAGGTTTCCCTGTGGAACAAAAGAACTGCCCTGCAAGATGGCGCCTGCGCAAAGCCTTTATTGAGAATGAGATCAGTGATCCGGGCTCACCTCGCTGCGTAGGAACGTGCTCCTTCGACTGCTACTGATCATGTGGTTATCCACAAACCAGTAGAATTTCTTCCCTTTCTTGGACTGTGCGAGTGCCAGCGTACCATTAATGTCAGCAAGATTGTCGCCCATGCCGTCATACACAACCTGGAGGGGGAAAAGTAAACAGAAAACAAAATAAAAATACAAAAACAGACAATATAGCAACACAACGTGCCTATAATACATGAATTTACCTGAAGAGCTCACCAACAAAATCTCACAAATTCGCCTTTCAAGGTAATCAGCTTTAAAAAGACAGGCTCGTCACAATTTATATTTGGTGTAGAACTGTAGGCTCATTTTTACCGTATCTTGAGAACTTTGGAAAAAACTGAGCAGAAAAGGAATTTCTGTTGTTCTGGACAAAATCACTGACTGAATGAATGGATTTTCTCCGTTTTTGGTAAAAACTAGCTTTTAGCAGATTTTGCATCAAAACTCTACATACTTCAAATACATCTCATACTTTCCATAAATTCAGAAAGGCAATCTCCACTAATTCGACAAATATTTAGCCAACAACCTCTTCAATGTAGGGCCATACAGAAAGTGAAGATCTTTCACTAGCTGACACATTGAAAACCTCAAAAGCAACCAAAGTACAAGATACCAAAGTACAGTGAATTGCACCTGTACGTTCAGGTGCCGATAAATGTACATGTAACCTTCCTGAAATTGTGTACAAAATTCCTCATCCCAAATTGTCATCAGATACAATGCACATGTAATGTACATGTGCCGTTCACGTGCAAAGGTTTCCTTCACGCTCTGTGAAACAGTTTGACAGACACTGTACGTCATGTCCGAGATAAAGCTGTCTGACAGAAACTAACAAGGTCTCCCCCCCTGAAAAAAGGGGTTGTAGATGTCATGCTTAATTTGGCCCTTCAAACTTCTATTTGTTGGTGGCAATTTCTGATGTTTTGTTTACAGTTGAGTCTGTCACAAGTCCGTTTTCAAGACCAGTCGCAAGTGACAGGATGAACAATCACAAAGGAATGCTTTTGTCACAGGTCATTGGAAGAGCTTGTGACATGAGACTGGATGACTGATGATGGACTTGCAGGGACTTGTGATGGGCTCAACTACGAGTAAAACACTGGTCTCTTTGAGACGAAATACTGCACTAGTTTCACGTACAGTTTCCTGACATCATACATGTACTTTGCTTGCTATTTCAAATTCCTCTTTGTTCCTTTTTTTTTTACCTTTCCGTTGCTGACGGAGGGATAGAAATAGCTCATGAGTGAGATCGGAGGGGAGCAGTACTTGAAGGTTTCCAGGGCCGGGTCACGGTACGAGGCCGCATTGCGGGAGCAGAAATCGGTGAATCGGGGATGCCTCATGACGGTCAGCTCCACCTCGCGTATTGTCTGGAGACGCTCCTTGGTGAAGATGTTCTTGTCATTTCCCTTGGCCATGTAAATGAGCTGCATCCTCCACGTCTGGGACCGAGGTCGGTTCGCTACTCTGCGGCTGCGACCGTGATTTGTTTGCCCCTTGCGGATTTCCCGACGATGCCTCTTTGTGGCTGCAAAGTCTCTGCTATGGGTTTTTACACTCTGAAATACCACACTGTTCGAAGTCTCTTTGCTGGGCAGGGCATTCTGAACACCAATGACACCAGAGAGTCCCTCGGTGTCAAATCTGGTTTGGTGTAGGGGAGATTTGAATATAAAGTCATCCTCCGCATGCCAGGTTTGGAACATGTCCACACTCCGTTTATTCAGGTTGTGGAAGTCGTCCTTCCGGGCAGCTTCAAAGGCCAGCTGCCGCCGGGTTGAGATGTGGTTGGGGATCTGAAAAGCATTCAGGGACTTATCGAAGTATGGCGTGGGACCGACCACGAACACACTGACCCCAGCAAGGGTCATTGATGCGGCCGAGACGAGGATCAAAATGACGATGCTGATGATAGTACTGTTGAAGATGTGGCCCAGGGCACGCCAGGGTTGACCCAAGGGGGCCACCTCAGTCAGTGACTCCTGACTGCTACTGAAACTCCCCTCCGATGAGGAGCTGCTTTCGTTGGGGCTCTGTTGCCATCGGAACGTCTTCGGCCTGCCGTTGCTCAGTTGTCGGAGGCCACTGGCTGGTTGAGACGCGAGGAGATCCTGTCGCTCGTCCAGCACATCTGGCTGGAAGGCAGCATTAACCAGGCCACACGGGTTGCCGGTTTCCTCCCCGCTCTCTTCCTGCCAGGTCTGGAAGGTTACCTCTTCGTCCAGACTTTCGCCGAAGGGTCCGTGGCGGGTCAGGAAGCACAGCTGGCCCGACATAGTGGTCAACGCAAAAGGGGTGGCGGTGTGCTCTGGAATGCCGTATGGGGTCTGGCACTGCGTCTGACCACGCTGTTTCCAGCTAAGCAATTGACAGGTGCTGCCCACTGCCTCAGGAAGATAGTACCTGAATCAAGAAAAGAAAGAAAATACTAAAAATGAACACACTCAACAAATCTTGCAAAAAGACATTTTACTACAAGTGAAAAATTGTTAGCACAATGAACAAAATGCACAAACATGTCAATCATTATGACAGATAGAAATGATACACGAAAGTTCAATTCACCTTTATCAATTTGGTACCTTTACCTACATGCAAACAAGTAGTTTGCTCAATTTTAATGAAAAAGAACACCTGTTGTTAAGTGGACCTCTTTAATGTGTGAAGAGAGTGGTGTGAAAGGCAGGCATTCAATTAATATCAGAACGAGAACAAGGAGACAATAGGGACTGTGTTACTAATAATGTTCGGCAGGATGTGGCTGTCGGGCTAAGTGCCTGGGAGATTTGAACGATTTCGTATCTGTGCATGCACGTTGGAGTCACCATGGCAACCGCAGACGACATGTGGATCTACAGGAGTGCCTGGTCAAAGTCCATGCGCTTGGCTGATTTCATTACAGTGGCGAGAACGGTTGGATATCAAAAAAGGAATGATTCATTCCCTTTTGCAAATTACTTTTTGGCTAAAGAATGCCAATTTGTGATCCAGACTATTCATGTTACATGTAAATTACCTGAGATTAGGTGTCCCGGTCGGGGTCTAATTTCATAAAGTGAAAGGCATGTAGAAAGCTAATCAGATTTTGGTCATGTACATTTGTACATGTACATCCTTCTAAGCTGACATAACTTGAAATCTAATACCGACGGTTACAGGATGTAAACTGCACATGTATGAATGTACAGCGCACATGCATATGAATGCATTTGGTTGGGCTACCGGTGAATTCTCGTTAACAGGTGAAACTGTTTTCCTTTCTTTTTACATTATTGCGCATGTTTTCTTGCAAAACATACAGGATCAGCTGGCAGACAACACATCAATTAGTTCCTTTTGTTTATCCTGAATGCCATTGAGCTGTTTTATTCCTAGAACTGCAAAAAGAAAAACTCTGGAGGATTTTACAATGCAAATGCATGAACTCTATGAAAGGAGGCTTACATGTACATGTATATGAATGCGAAGCATTGTGAACTGTTTGGTTTATGAAGTTCTCAAAACTCAAAATTCTATTCCTGATGGAGAAGTCATTACAGTGTTCAAGAGTTGTTATAGCGCCCTCTGTTGGACAATGTTCAAGAGTACTACAAATGATAGTTTAAGAGACCGTGGTCAAGGAACAGATAACAGTAGGTACATGTATTTAATAGCCGATCTAGTGCCCGCTATGTGTGTGGGCAGTTTGATGTGTGCTCCTCTCCAAAGCCTCCGGGCATGTTCCAGCTCTGCACGGCAATTGCACAGGCCTGCATGTCGGACTTCGATGATGGATATCGATCGAGATTGTTGACTGATCAGTACGCCAAGGGTTGAGGGGTCTCAATTAACAAACTTAATCACAAAGAATAAGGGTGGGGCGTTTACACATTTTACGAAAAAAGTTCCACATCTGTTTACAGATTTTACCAAACGTTTAAACGGAACCGTCTCTTTGAGAGAGAGGTTTGACGTTTCGACAGCCCTAACTTACATGCATGAGGTTTTGGTTCTGAAATTTTTGTGACATTATTAAAAAAAATCAGCGCATTGACCGCATCTGGGTAAAAATATAAATCTTCAGATTTCTTTCCCACTGCCCATATTAATAATTTAACATGTACATGTATTTTGCAAGCGGTATACCTTATCGGTCTAAGAACTGTCAAGAACAGGGAGACAATGGGCACTATCAGTAATTGGGGGACCTGTCCGGCCCAACCTGCGACTTTGTCTCCATGGATACCAAATAGGGATGAAAACTTTGGAGGCGATGCCCGTGAAGGTTTATTCTTTTGTGGAACTGAAGAGTTGGTGCGCTTGATTGTGCTGAACGAGCCAGTGAGTGTGGGAAGGCATGGACTCAAATGGGCTAAGGTGGGCTCTGCGAGCGGTGATGTACTATTAGACTGGGTGATGATGGGTTCAGGTAGTGGTGGCCCTGGGGTCAAATGGGTGTAACTGGGTTCACCCTGTGGTGTAGCAATGGGTAACTGGGTGCCACTGGGGTCAGGCGGTAATGTGGCTGTTTCCAAATGGGCAACGACGGATTCCTTTGAGGTACTTGAAAGCACCACTGCAGATATGGGCTCCGGTAGAGTTTCAACATCTAATATGCTATGACCATGACTGTGTCCATGTGAGGGTACGACTTTGTTAGGTACATTTAAATCATGGAGAGCGCTCTCTAGAGGTGTTACACCGCTAGATTCATTGACAGCTGCACTGCAAAACAGAAAGTTTGAGGATTCTGCGACCAACGAATTCTCGCCGGCTGGGACACCGAGAATAACAATCTCAAATTCTCCTGGGGCAACTTTGGCCAAGCTTTTGTCAAGAGGGGATTCCAGTGTCAAAGGTCCACTCTTTATTGTTAATTTCTCTTCTAGGGGACACCCGATTTCAGGGTGGCTTGGGCTCTGCAACTTCGGCATGCCTGATGCTGTTTGAATGGCAACCCTGTAGAATTTTCAGCCTGCAGAAAAAAAAAAATTGGAACAGAATTTTTCAAAGTAACTAAAAGTTTCAAAAGTACTCTTTGATCTCGATAGATCCTTTTCAAGCATCTCACTCCAGCACTACACACAAATTAAACCCATTTCTACTGGTCTTGGTGCTAAGGTTATTAGGGAAGGTAGAGTCAAGCTACTATAAACTTTCAATGGGGCTTGGCGCCCCTTGGAACGTGAAATTACGATGAATGTGCTATTTGATTTCTGCAGAATGGTAGGCTTTGAAAAATTAAAGATGATCAAAACCAAAGAACATTTTAAACAAACGTGCACTGCTTCAATACTTACAATAACTTTGTCCAGAAAAGGGTTAATACATTTTAATTATCAGACAAGCATTTAAACAAATATAAATTATATGGAAAAGTAAAACACAACCAGTGTTACAAATCTGTGTAAGAATGGTTAAGTTTTGAAACATTATGTTTGAGTAGAGTTTACTTTGTAAATTAAACAAATGAAACAATAAATAGTTGCAACGAACACTTTTCAACATGGTTGCAAAATGTCCAACAGAACGACCAAAATGGTGAACCATTCCAAGAAACAGACACCGAAAGTAAAATAAAGTGTAAATACCTGCGTATCAGTTGTGAACAGTGAAACCAAAGGGAAAATATTATTTTGTTTGAAGACAAACGATAAACAAGGACACACAACCGTAATACACCAACACACCCATCTCTGATTTCTGGTGTTTGTCACTCAATGTTCCTTATTCGTGGAGTCCTACTACATGTACAAGTACGCTAAAACTTACAGGAAATTACACCATAACAATGCAACATCTCAAAAGGCCTTCCTTCAACTGTAGTCACACAAAATTGATGAATTTTTCTTTGCACTTCATCAATGGTACTTGTCCATGTACATTCTTGCTTAGAGAGAGAAGTTTGCATTTGCATATTCATTGTCAGATTCAATTCATTTCATATTCATTTGCAGATGAAGGAAAACGTAAGCCTCAAATGACGTAGAAAAAACTTGTGTAAATATACAATGCACACGCACCAAATGTTTGAAGAGCTGGCACAAAGCACATGTACGGAATGCATCCAACTGCCCATCTTCATGCTTGTCTGAACAGACAAACATACATGTACATGTACATGTAGTACTTAAAAACTACATGTACATGTATTCACCAAAACTTATGCATCCCGAAAGATTTGATGATGATGAACACTTTCAAAGGTATCAACAAATTTGGTTCCAACACTTAAAGGCATGTGGTTGACATACTAAATACATGCGTGTACATACACATGTACCCGTACGAAACAAGCACACACGTCCAGTCATGCTACCGATATTTAGTGTCAACACACACAAGTAGCGTCAACAAAGCGTCAACAACTTGAAAATACCCTCAATATACATGTATTTAAAAGTGGTTTTATCATATTTTAGAGACTCTAACACTTGCCACTTTGTAAGAGAAACACCAAATTTGTTTCCAGATTCTCGCAGGAAAACGAAATTTTTTTGCGATGTATGGGAGCTGCCATCTTTCTTTCCTCTGCCGTCCACGCAAAAACAAGATGGCGGCCGGCCGGGCTGAACAACAGGCCTGACTTTGTCACTCAAATTTCAACACTCAAATATCATTTCAGATATATATGATACATTGAATTTGATATGTAGGACCTTAAGTAACATTGTCAATGATAAATCTTGCATAAAACTGCTTGAAGAACTTGTTGACGCTTTGTTGACGCTCGTTGACACTAAATAGGATGACCTCATACATCCGTAGGTGAATATGTACATTGTCACATGTACATCTGGATCCTTACAAATTTACCTGGTCATGCGGTTTACCTTAAAGATTTTCTTAACTGCACCACAGTTCCTGTTCAGACCTACTCTAAGTCCTGTTTCAGCCAATCCGGTTCCCATCAAATAAAGAATGACACCAGTTTTCCTTCCAACAAAACATTCTCTTGTTGTTTCATCGACACCGGGGTGTCCCTAATCAAAGTTTCTAGCAGATGACAACACACACGACCCTTCCTGGGATGTCAGGGCCAGGTTTTTTAAGGTTAATAAGCAGACTTCAGGAAGCGTTTGTGTGCGAAGGACCGGATATACTGTACTCAACTTCCTGGAGCAGACCTTCAGCAAACAATCCAGGTGCTAGGTAGTGATGGACATCTGATTTAATCAGAGAAAAACTTTCACTATTAGAAACAATATCGACGAATTTTTGAAAGGATGATAAACAAAACTGTCTGCTGGTTAAGACTAGGAAATTGTGAATTCAAATAAGGAAAAGTTTGAATAATGAATATCGGTGGTTAAGTTTTCTTACTTTTGTACAGTGAAATACCGTATCACCCACACAAAGACCATCACACAATATTCTCTATGACTTTGAAAATGGTGGTTTTAACTGTATGGTGACGGTTAGATCTGGTGATGGCAAAGTGGTCAGTTGGGGGAAAAATTAGGTATCCGGTCACTAAGGAATGTTATCTCAGGTCACAAGTTCAAAGCAAGGCTAGGGATGTGGTCAAGTGAACATACACAACTGACCGAGGGCCACAGGGGGACACAGTCAGGGTCATGGACTTTGTTCATCTACATGTACATGCAGGATGATCGGCACTGTCTGTTCAGGTCGCCAGTTCAGGCCCAACTACTAGTACATGTACAGTGTAGAGTACGGTTCATCAAGACAGACATGCTACATTATTCACACAAGTGCTGGCGAATGTCCAGCATACATGTCCATGTCCATGTCCATGTGAGTGCGGCATTTCCCAGCCACACTCAATTCAAACAGCACTGGCATGAAAATACACCGTTACACTGCTGTGTGTAAAGGACAGAGAGTTCCTATCTCTTCAATGCTTTCAGTTTTTCAGACCCTTTGAACAAGGTTGTTGAACGATAATAAGGTACAGTATGTGTACATGAATACATTATTTGGCAGGTCACAGCGACCTGAAGTTAGACAGCTGACTGCGTGTCAAGCTCAGAAAACCTATCACTGCTGAATGGTCCCTCCCACCTGCCCATCAAAACACCTTCCCACTAACAAAACAAATAATAAACAAAAGAACAAACAAAAGAACGTAACAAATAATGACAAAAGAGGAAAATCAAATGAAACAATATCAGTGAATGAGCAAAACCCAAAAAATGAAAACCAAATTTTGAAGTGGGAAGTATAAAAATCTTTGCCGAGGTCTCACTGACATCTAAAGAAAAGTCACAGGTTCCGATCTTGAACTCTTGGTGTGCATAAAATCAAAACACTGCAATCTGCCATATAAGCGTTGGCCCAGTGGTCCGAGGACTGCAACTTTTGTGCCCTCAAGTGAGGTACTTTTTTTTCAGTCACCTTCAAACCGAAGGATGATGAGAAAGGAAGTTCCTAAACAAAAATGAATTCCCAGAAGTGGGTCTTCTGAAAACAAAAAACTATTCAAAGAAGAATTGTTGGAGCTGGTGATAAAAGAAGAACAATGAAAATAAATGGAGGAAATGATACTGACAAACGACAAAGAAAAACTGTGCATACTGGTAACAAACCTAAAAACGACCAAAAACACCCAAAAAAACACAAAAAACAGACAAGTTAAAAGGGGAACTGAGGGGAAAATTTACGTGTAACACAGGAAAGGACATCCACATGACAAAAATGACGAAATTTGGTTGTCACCTTGTTAGACAGAATGCATCATTTTGCAGGTCCGCTGTAAATACCAAAATGAAAAGTGGCCAACATCAACGGTTCCAAAATGAAAGGTGACCAGCATCAACGGTTCCACAATGAAAAGTGGCCAACATCAAAGGTTCCAAAATGAAAAGTGGCCAACATCAACGGTTCCAAAATGAAAGGTGACCAACATCAACGGTTCCAAAATGAAAGGTGGCCAACATCAACGGTTCCAAAATGAAAGGTGACCAACATCAACGGTTCCAACCCTTGTCTCAGTAGCCTTTTCCTTCCAAAATCCATCAGGAGGTTTCGGACCTTGCGTCTTGCCGTGGAATATCAGTGGAATATGGAATGGTTTCCAGACGAAGTGGAGCGTTTTGGAGGAATCAGGAAAAATTCCCAGCCAACCTCATGCGTGCATGACTGGAAATGATTGGGCTCTTGTCCCTGAATGTGTCGAGGCCGACCCCTAAAAGTCTAAATCCCCCTCCATTGTGGGTAGTGGTACCACTGTGGGCACTTTATGGATATATCTCGGTAAACACAAACAACAGACGTACCCAAGCCATGAAAGAAACACCTTGTACATGAATTTGCACTTTTTTGGACCTGGGTCATTCTGTAACACCGGGTGACCTTTTGTGTCCCTGTTACACCTCAATCTGAGTAAGACGACATGGAAAAATAACTGAAATTGACTTCAAACGACATGTACTTTCAATTTTGTTTGGCAGGTACATGTACATGTACATGTAATTTCATACATGTGCATGGTTAATCACTCATGGAAATCAAAATACGGCTCAAAATCAGATGACAGACGTGTACATTACCAGAGCCACAAAACAAAATTGTAAACCGAATTGATAGAGTGGCCCAAATGTGAAAGAGGCTTTTGAGCGGTTCTGGAAATTTGCTAAATGTTGTCCGATGGATTTCTGTTGATAGAATTATTATTATTATTTTCATTAGTATTATTTATTCATGCCAATTCTTTTTCATCACATGCAAGATGGGCAGACTATATGACACACAATGTGCACGTGCCTGAGTGTGCCAGGTACTGCACATGTCAAGGACATTCATTGTTTTCCCCGAGACTTTGCGGTGCCAACCATACAAGCAACATACATGTACATGATTCATGTGACTAGTGAGACTAACAGACCATAAGGTACATTGTATCAGGCCCATTGCCATGGTCTGGCAGTATTCAAAGAAATACATTGTATTTCTGGATGAGGGGAAATAATCAAGATACATGTAATAAACCTAGGAAAAGCCAGACGTGGTAGGACAAACACTGAGACAAGTGATCAAAACCCAGACAGGTACATGTATGAATTTCAAAGTACAATCTTCAAACAAGAGAAAAATTGTCCTTTAAAAAACACGTCAACAAAAAATGCGATTCTGAAAGAAATACCCCCCACAAATTACTTTCAAAAATTTGAAATGGGTACAACTCACATGTCAAACATGTCACACAACCCTCAAGAACCCAAGACAGATGATAACAGAATGAAGACTTATAAATACCAATCGTCAGATGCTAAAGAGAAATCTAAAGGCGTCACCGACCACAAAGATATCTCAAGACTCGCCTAAGATCAGCAAATTCTGATTTTCCACTGAAAAGCCAAAGGTACATGTATTTTTGTACTGCACCAAGCTGATGTTAAATGCAAGGGCACGTCCAAGGATGAGATTCCAATGCCCTCCTGTTTGCTAAATCCCCTCCCCCCTGGTTGATTCACTGATCCCCCCTGCCCGGCCAGACGCAATCAATTCCAGAATAAAAGGAAAGAGACGGAGGGAGGGATTAGCAGGAACTTCAAAAAAGGTCACCCAAGGACAGCTGGTGATGTCAGAGTCCTGCCAGGGAGCGAATCAATGAAGGATGGCCTTGGGGTGGCTGAGGGAAAGCTCAGCAAACAAAGGGGGACAAATTCTGAGCCGAGACCACCTGATCTCTGTACGGGGGACACTCAGCAATGTGGAAGAAGCTTGCAGAAAACAGCAGGACGGATGATCTCCTTGGAAAGTGTCCAAACCATGAGTTGATAGTCTCAAAGATATTTTTGTCAGTTTTAATCGATGATGGATACTGAATTTCTGGCTTTTTTAGCTCTCCACTGTTTGTACAAATTTGAAAAAAATTCATCCTGACAAACTTTGCTAAACCTGCACGTACATACATGTACACGTATGACACCTACTTAACCTTTCATACAAACAATGCCAATTACCGCTAATAACACCAAAAATCAAACACATTTGTGATCCTAGGGTACAAAAACCTAAACACAGTATGAAAAAAATGTGTGAGAAATGGCCGATAAATTTGGACATGTCTTCATTGGAGCCATTTCAACGACTCTTTGTCTGTAATTTCTGAGGCTGGTGGATTGTACAATGACGAAATATGTACAAATACAAGTGTACATTGCCAGTATATGCAGTCAAACCTGAAAACCAACACTTCAAAGAAAATTATCATAATACATGTATTCTGTTTTCCAGTAATTGTAAAAAAAAATATGAAAACTGACACCACACTACAGATTTTGTTAGCAGAGCTTGCATCTCGTTTCCTATACTAGTGCTTCTGTCTTACAAAACATGTTCCTGTGCATACATGTAGGCCTACTCTAAGTTTAGCAATAGGCCTACATTTGTCATTTCAAAAGTTTACAGAACTGTACAAATAGAGTAGAACCTGCTCTGACAAAATGAGAAAGATCCCCCGATATGTGACTTCCTATTTGACAGGAAAAACCCTGTGCAAAATATTACTCTCATACTCTCTGTCTGCCTACTTGTACATGTAGTTATCAACAAAGACAAGATGTTGGGCCTTTGTTCGTGTTTCCAAACATTTATGCACAGAGAGTGTTTTTTCCATTATACATGTATCTTAAATTCCAACTGCAGCACACTAACAAAAGAGCACAAGTTTGCAAAATCACATTGGGTACTTGTGCATTCTTTTGGGGAAAATTCCTCATTATGGCTCAGCAGGTAACCAGATTTTTAAAAACTATGACGGCGCTTACCTGAGCAGCTGCCGTTACCGTAAAGACGTCAACTCAACTGTTTGCTTCTCAAAAACAAGCTACCATTGTTCACAAGTCCATCTGATTCAGCCGATGGTCCTTTGTTGAAGTATTGGCAGTTAAGGCATACTGTACATGTACACCGTACATACGTGTACATAATGACACGTGGGCCAACGTGTAACGACGCATTTCCTTTAACACCAGGAAAAGGAATCTAGATATAATCACATTATGTTGGCTTGGGCAAATAATAAAAAGAATTCAAAGACAGCCACAAGAATTCCTCCTTTTCTTTTAAAAACGTGTGTATAGTTAACAAAAAACAACTCTTTCAAGTTGCCAAAATTGCCAATTCACCATCTCTGTCTGGCTGAGCTGAGTTTTTAATGAAAATCATCAGAAACTGTTAGTAATTTAAAAAACATCGAGTTGCGTACATGTACATGATTAAATTACCCAATAATTTTTTTCTTTTACTGTTTAAATATCAAACCAACATCTTGGAAAATGCTCTTAAGTTGAGTCAACAATCTCATAAATTCTAGATGTCTAGTTTCTCACTAAGTTTTCTTTTTGTTAAGTTTTGTTTTTGTGTTGTGTTGCATTGTGTCGTTTCTGTTTCATTTGGTTGTTTCGCGTTGTGTTGCGTTGTGTTGTATTTTGTTCAATTTTTCTTTGTTTTCTTTTGGCTGCAGTGAAATCTGGGTGAATGAACCTACATGTACACTGAAAATCATGACCAGTCAAAACAGGGATGTCCGTGTACATGTGTAATTGATACCTCTCGAAAAGTGCACCTTCAAACCCAACTTGGTCCAAGCTTAACAAAATATGTACATGTACTGCCAGTCAGTGACTTGACAGTTCTTTGTGAAATGAAGCGTGACGGGCAGAAGAGACACATGTACATGTAAGTACATATACAAATCTGTACATGTACCATACAGTACTTGTTCTATTACATGTTCACGCAGGCTTACTTTGTGGGCATTAGACGGATATTCACATGTTGCTTGGACCACAAATGTTAGCTAGACAACTTTTTGTCCCCACAACTCGGTCCCGGCTTTCCTAAAAAAAAAAGAAAGAAAGAAATTGTTCCCTAAGCGTAGTGAAGGCCTACCAACCTATAGGGACTTGGACAGCAAGTTTGTTGATTGTTACAAATAATGCATGTACGTACATGTACCGTACATGTACCGGATACTGCTGGGTTCCTAGACGGTAGACCTTTTAGGACACCAAAACTCCAGGATCCTGGATTCCAGGATTCCTGGAAAAACCATGGCCTTATTCATCTAAAGTTAGCAGATGAACTTTTCAATATTTTGTTGGGTAGAAACATTGGGTTTCTGACAACAAATTAATGTGGAACATGTGTATTACCATGCAATTCCCAAACTGTTCAACTTTTAACATCTTTAATTTCTTCCCACGACTTTTCTAGGCCTTGAAATGGATTTTCAAATTGGCAAGAGTTTTCAAAGTTCCTGTAAAGTTTAGACGAACTCTGCATAATGTCAGTTTCAAAAATAATTGACATTTCAATTCCAAATTAGACATCACTGCCACCTTGAAACCTAAAAACAGCTGATTTTTAGGCTCCCTCACTTTTTTTTGGAGGGAACATAAATCTGAAACAGCATGAGGTCTGATTCCTGTCCTGACAACTTCAGCATGGAACCAGCTTTGGAGTTGTTTCGCAGTAAAATTTCTAAGTTCTGCAAAACACTCACTGCACACGCTCAGTTTGGTGCAATTGTATACTTGCAATTCAAGGAACCCAGTTCAAGATCCATCATTTGCGGCCTTACTTTAAGTCCCTGTACATGATCATATATTCGCAACTCAAACATGGAGGGCGCTCTTCATTGTTCCGCCTGGGATCACCAACTGTGACCTGCTTTGGCATGAGCAAGGATACTTTACAATAATCATGCACGGTATATGGATGGGAATGTATAAAAATCTAATCCATATACCCTTCATTTTGTTGGAAATTTTCTCTTTTGGGAAATACATGTAAATGTAGACACGTACAGTTTATGCCATGGCCAAGCACATATAGAGCAAGTTACGATCCGACCAAGAATTCTTTCATTAGTACTCTGATATATACATGTATATTACAATGAAGAAAAATTGGCCAGTAAAAAAATAAGCCTAGTGGAAATTTCCCGCAAACGGAGTTTTATTTCCAGACTTCAGTGTACATGGCGTATGGCAGGCCCATAGGGGAGGGGGGGGGTTGGATGATTTCTAAACAATGCCAAAGTCTTTAGACCCAATTTGGTTTGTATCAGAGGATCATATTGGTTCACAAGATTTGGAACGTGGAATACAAGCCAATCAGTGTACTTGTTACATTCTGGCATCTAAATGCATGTGGCTGATTTCAATCAATATAGGACTACATCATGTCTCTCTCTAGTGACAACCTGAAGATTTTTAAGCCCCCCCCAAAAAATCAATAAATCCCTAGGGCTTCATTAATTCACAAGCAAGGGGTCTTACCAGTGTTAGGCATTTTAGTGAGTAGATAATGATGTACAATAATCGGAGTACTGTCATTTCTTGACAACTATTCACGTAGGCCCAGATGTAATTTTGCAAATTAGATTAGATGTGGTTTGTGGTTTATTCCTGCACTGTCAGATCTGAATTCATCTGTGAGGCGTGGCAGGTTTAAACACTTATCACACAAACATCTTGGCCTTGTATTCCTGATGAACTGAATGACTGACAGTGTCAACGACTGTCACTCAGTGTCACCGCAGGTCCACCGTGCATGGCACAGAGTCTATAACCATGGAGGACGGAATACACCATTGGGGAAGAGTTCCATATATGGACGCCAGTAACTACAAGTGCAGTGATCTATTAGATGTCAGAAAGCAAAAGCATGTCCAGAAAAATTCAATTTAGAAGGAAAAAAAAACAAGTCGTTTACTTAGAAAACAGGGTTTGTGTCAAGTGGTGTCCGTATACAGAACTCTTTCCATAAGCTGAATGGCTGTCATTGTCAGTGTCAATGACTGTCATTGTCAGTGTCAATGACTGTCACTGCACGCGCACCGCACGCAGTCAATAAGTTATGAACAGCCATTCCTCTATGTGATCTGGATAGAGATAATGAGCCTTTTTCCCGTTTCATGTGTCAGTGTTGTAGCTAGCAATACCTGTATTTTAGTGCAGGACAATTTAGTAATTGAGAATGGAGGAACGAAGCGACAAGTCTCGCGGGTCACGGCCAGGGGTTCAGGGGACTTTACTGTACATCTTTTTTCATTGAGTTGTTCTTTCCAAAGTGATTAAGAGTTCAAATTTTTAAAATTATTCCAGGTAAAAATATGAAATTTTCATAGTGCCTTACGTTATTTCTGGGATTTTTGTGCCGGTTGGTGGGTTGTTTCATCAAGCTTACTGCTGGACAGTAAAACACTGTAATGGAGATCCCTGACATGCCTGACTGGTGCCAACCGGTGTAGCTATAAATGATGATGACACTGTCACATGTGCATGTTCAGAAAGAGACAAAGGCATAGTACTGTTGCCATGTTTGTTGGTATCAGTACTACTGATACCAACAAACATGGCAACAGAATACGAAATTGACTTAAGCCTAGGCCTACTACATGCATTGCACGACATGTATATGCTTTGTTTTGGCCATTCTTGAAAATTATGAATAACAAAAAACCCTCCTGTGCTTTGAGAAATATTCGGACGGCGATCAGGTCATTGCACTGTGTGACAGTCGCCCAACCATGATCGTGGCTGTGATTTACACTGTTGTACATGACACGTAATTTCAACATTTTCAAGTTGACAGTCATTTTTAAATTTTTGACAACATGAATATCTTTGTCAAATTCCTCACCATTTTGGGCGTTTTGGGGTCCTCCCAGTCAGTTCATCGAAATGCCAATATCCTCTTCTCTTCCATCCCAGAATTTCAATGTCTTTCGGGTACCGGTACGTTTCCAAGCGCTGGAGGGAAATGGTCTTTTAGGGTAATAGTTGTTTTGCCGGATGCGTAGAGGTCAATAATGCTAATGTTTTGATTGACCGTGCCAGCAGCGCTGCTGTTCAGCTCCTGCCTGGCATTAGAGGGCGCACTGTCATCAGTGTGGATCACAAGAGAGAGGGCGCTATTAAGCTTTCATGGACAGTCACTGCTGGAGTTGGGGACATTTTTCGATTCAATTCGGAAATTGCATTTTGTTTCGAGTGTCTGGAAAATCATGGTCTTTAGTCAAGGCAATCGATTGTGACAACATTTAGCGTATAAGCCATTTAGAGCGACTGAGAAAAGACTATGGAGTGTCATTCACGGCTTGCCGCTAGCGCTGCAAGGCAGAAACGCATACCTATCATTTGACCGAGGCTACTGAATAAATCATTCTATTATGCATTTTGGACCACTCTATCAGCGCAGTGGGCTGCTTTCCTTAATAATATTAACCACTATGCAGACGTCATAAGTCTCAGACCGCCCACCCCACGTTTTCCGCCATCTTATTGGCTGAAAAGAGAAGCGTCCTCTTGTTTCGTAAATATTAATTCAGCTATCAAAATGAGCAGCAAGCCCCCACGTGGAAAAAAGGTGATTGGGGGGGGGGCTGTTGCTATGGTGCCGTGTAGGGAAGACAGTGTCCCACAAACGTATAATAAAGTCGTCCGTGCAGTGTCCTTTTAATGAGCCTGGAGCTAGACCAACAGAAGGCACAATTTTCCCAGCAACGGAAGCTCGCGGCGGAACAGCATTTTGCTGTTCACAAACGACTCTGAAATACATGCGTTGCCGGGTGCGTCACTACTAGCAAAGTGTGCACGCCCGACCAGCATGGTTCTTTTCAACCGATGAGGGGGTGGTTTCTGCTTATGGCGTTTTCTGTTCAAATTTTGAAACCAAAATTTGCTCTTAAAACCATTTCTAAGAAAGGGCTGCCTTTTGTGTATATATTTATTCTATATATATTTATTATATATAGATCTCAAAAAAAAGGGAAACTTTATGGCAGCAAAAAGCAGTATTTTTGTGTACATTACAACAACGAGAGTTTTGTTACTTGGGCTGTGTCCGAAATGGGCTTCTAGAGCTACGGCTAGGTCTATTGTCTGCGCGTCTCCACGCAATGCCAATGAAGCGTAGACCTAGACCTAGCTCTAGACAAGAGATTTGGATGCAGCCTTGGAGTGACATTGCAATGGGAGACTTTGGGAAGCATGGTGGCGGCAGACACAACGACCCTTTTTGGATGATGTGGGCATGCGTGTGCAGTTCCAGCATGCGTATCAGTTCTGAGCATGCGCAAAAACGCGGAAAGGACCAGTGTGTCTGACGCCACCATACGTCTCCCATTTTGTTATGAATGGGGAAGAACTCATCAACATAAAAACGAAACAACGCCAAAAATCTGTTTCAAAAATGAAAAAGGTTGAGATGAAAAGGACATTTTAAAAGATTGTTGTAAAAATTGCATTGCATAGATCCTTTAAGTGTCGTGTACTTTCCGAAGTACAATCTATTATTAACTTTATACGTCCTGGATTTTTTTCACCAAATTAGATTATTAACGTTTATTAAGAAAGAGTCCGCCGTATACGCTTTTAGCCCAAAGTTGCCTGGTGGCTGCAGTCAGAGTGCATTTTTAAGCACCAACTACTCTGGGGGAATTGAATTTGATAGTCATTACCTGTAATTTTTCCCAGGATTGATGGCCATTATTTCCTCGGCTCAGCGGGGCTAGAAACGGGAAGTCTGAAGATTGGGGAGATTGTAGGTGGAATAGTAATGCCGGTCCCTTTGGGGGTTCCGAGCGGTAAGGCTTACCGACGGAATAAAAGGACGGCTTCTTCTAGATCGCTCATGCAGCCAATTTTCCCTTCTTTCCATCTCAAATGTAGTGCGCAAAGGCCCAATGCTCGCATATTTCCCCCCAATCGTTATGCAAGATCATACGACTGTCTTTATTGATCGTGCGTATCGTAGTCATCGACAACATCTCCTGCAAATGATTGCTTCCAAGCGACGACGCAACGTCAGTGAGCCCTCTCGTGTTTGACGGGTTCATTTTCTGCAACGCTGCAGAGTCCAGTCCACGAATTCAAGCCACATTGAAAAACAGTGTAAAATCAGCACTGTTCAGGGCCCAATAACATGCATACCAACATCCCTGAGATTTCTGAAACACAAATTAAATTCTTGTCTGGTTACTTATCTTTCAATTTCTTTTCAATGTT